CCTCAGTGCACTTCACTGAGGGCTCTCATGGGTGGTTATTATATGACATCTCTCAAAGCCCAAAAGTGAATTGGTATTGGATTCCTCATTTGAAAAGAAAAAAATATATAATAATTCAGATCATTATGTTTCAGTCATAACTGAAGCGTGTCAAACCTTGCCTCCGTGTTTATTTTTAAAGGCATTCGTCATCTCCTTCACATCAGAGTTCGTTCCAAGAATGGTCTACCAGTACATGTACAGTGGAAACGGCACCATGAGTGGCTACACAGAGCACTCGCTGTCCTACTTTAATGTCAGCAACTTTCCTCCTGGCACAGCACCAACCACCACACTCATCACCGGTGTTTCCATGTGCAGGTCAGAGTGATTCTGCTAACCTTGACCTACCTCGATCTTCCTTTTAATCCCTTAGCCAGAAGCTTAAGGCTTCCTTTGGTGCAAAATTTGGCAAGGATTTCAAGATCATGCTGAGAGCATAGCACCATTACCAGAATATATTTGCATTTAGGTGCAGTGAGCTAAGATTCTTGTTTACTCCATTTTTCTCCATTAGATACAAGGACTACAGAGATCCACCATGGGCATCGGATGCGTACACTTTCTCCAAACAGTACTGGTCCGTCCTCGCTGCTCGACTGGCTTTTGTAATATTCTTCCAGGTATCAAAAAATATTTTTGCTAAATGGTTATTTCAGTTGCTTATTTAATACCAGACGTCTGAGGTCATTCTCTTTTCAATTTATGAATTCATTGCCTTTCATACAGGGTTTTCTTAGATGCCAGTCAGGTTATTTAATAATTATCTCTTTAAACGAGACTCCAAAAAAAACAATTTTTCTCTTTTCTTTCTATTAGTTTGAGATTGATGGAATCAAGTGTTTAAGTATCTTTGGCAGCAAGGCCAATGTAAAGTCTGGGGAGTGATCCTACTATATTGGCAGGCTTCCTTTGGGAGATTCATTGTCTTGGCAGGGATATTCCAGCTTAACCAGGTTGGAATGATAATGTCAGTCATTTCGAGGTACCAACAAAAATGCTGTAATGGTTTCAGACCCAGGACCTAACTGGGTCAATCTAGAGCTTTGACTTTTTTTTTTTTCCATTAACCTTCTATTTTGTTTTCCTAGCTGTATACCTCTAACTCTTTTATTACTGAGTTTGATTTGAGCAATTGCTTCAAAGTAATGTTGTGAAATTCCTGCATTTCTCCAGACAAACTTATTTGAATTGTGGCCAAATAGGTAATGGCTCAGTCTTTGGTCGGTTGAGGATTAAGCCGATTTAGATCTAAGCTTAATTCAACTGCCTTCTGGCAAATTCCCAGCATGTGCATTGGGTGAAACTTGGCTCCTATCTGACAATTCTACGTTAGTGATGTTTGCGCAAGATTTTCCTGGCCCTGGATTTTATTCTGTCTAACTCCCAATGACCAATTAAACAAAAGATTAGCAATGGGATGAAGAGAATTTATGCAGTGCTTTTCACTGCATTATGACACTAGAACAATTCCAATGTTGTGCAATGTTACACTTGTTCAAAATGCAATTTCCTGGAATTTCACTTCATAAACCAACACAAACACGTGTATAATTGAGAAGAGGAATAAAATATGTGGTTTTTGTTTTGTTCTTTTACAAATAAAAATCTGAAAACTGTAACATGCATTTTCTACTCAGCACATTCCCACAAGACTATAGATTGTAGAACCAACTTTTGCTGCCGATTCACTTTATATGTCTCTATTGGCTTTGCAGACTTCAAGGCTAAGTTTTTGGCCATTTCTTCTGAGCAAAAACAATCAAAATCAGATGGGATGAGGAACCTTTGTGTCTCTTTTCTAATCCTCTCAGATTATGAATTGGACACAAGTCTGCACTTTGCTTGAGTTGATCACACATGCATAACAAAAACAAAAGAAAAACTGCTTGGTTTCTTCTTTTTTTTCCCCTTAAAGAACCTTGCCATGTTCCTCAGTATGCTGGTGGCTTGGATGATCCCAGATGTCCCACGGTCACTGCGGGAACAGCTGAAAAAGGAGAACATGGCATTGATGGAGTTCTTGCTTGGACAAGACCAAGAAGCATGTGCCAAAACTCTCTCCCAAAAATCCTCTAGCCCTTGCTTTCCTGCCAACATAGACATTGTAGTGGAGGAGGCACCAGAGGAAGAGGACGTGTGCCAAGTGGGGGAGAAAGAGGAAGAAGTGAGGGTTGAGATCAGTCTGGATGAACCTAACAGGTTTGATACCAATCCAGAGGTATATAAATCATTTGAAGAGGCTGAAACTAACATGGACGATGAGCCAAAAGGTGAAGAGTGTGAGGAAATTGGTAAGGTGGAAGGTAAAGAAAAGGAAGAAAGTGGAGAAGTGAGGGGAGAGGATGAAGGAGAAAAGGAGGACAGCAGAAAGAGCGATGAAAGTCAAGTTTATGAAGCAGAGGCAACTGAGGGGGAAAACTTTACTGTGGATCTGGACTCTTTCATGAGTGAGCTGGGCCTGTTGGGTAAGAGGAGAAAACTCTGTTGTTACTTATGATTTACACGACACTTCTTATGATGTGTTCTGATCTGTTTCTCGTTTTCTATTCGTCTAGATGAAGAGCCTTTATCAAGCACGGTTGAGAAGAAGGAGCTTCCCCGTTCAGAATCCAAGCAAAGTCAACGGAAGGACAGGGAACATGCGTCCCATCCCTCATCCCTAAGAGGCTCATCCCAGAGTCTGAGAGGCTCCAGGCCAGACATTACAAAATCAAATGTTGAAACTCGGATGTTGACCCTAATTGCTCCACCCCCCAGAGAGCCAGACACAAGGGTAAAATCCCGCTGCTCCACCCTTCCTTCCCGCTACAGAGGGGCTGAGGCTTGCTACAGCCTGCCCCGGCCCAGCCAATCCACCAGCCTCACAAAGCTCCAGCAGCAGCCCTTGCTCACTCCCCTGGTTCCTTTGGGCTCCATTTCCCCGAAACCATCCTCTCCTTTGCACAGCCCCGTGTCCCTGTCATCTCCACAGTCACCGTTGACCCAACAGCCCCAAGCCTCAAGTGAACTTTTCATGCTGAAAGGCCCTCCACCTCAGCTGCCACGTTCCAGGGGCAAAACCCGCTGCTCCACTCTGCCTCCGCGGCAGAGAGCGCCCGGTCCCGAGGAGGCGACCTCAGGACCGAGCCATTCCTCCAGCTGCGCGAAGCTTGGAGACCTCATTCCACCATCACCCAGTGAACTGAAGCGCAATAACACTCCAGTATAGGGAGACCAAGGAGTGGGAGCTGTAGGCTGCAGAGGGAACAGACCAGATCAGCCTCTTCTGCTTGTGCCTGAGGCTGCATCCTTCCTGCTGCCCTTCTCACCTACATACACCTGGGTTCTAAAGAGAGAGCATCCAGGTCAAATGGACATCCTTTATATCCTTGTAACTTCACACGCAATACTATTTATATATATTTTTTTTATATATCAAAAAGTGTTTTAGATCTGAAGAGGTCAGAGAAAAGTTCCTCAGAAACTCTTTTTTTTATGCCATGAAAAATAAAGACTCAAGTTGTTCTATTTCTATTTTACTTCATTTTTGAAAGTTGTTTCATTTTAATCACATGCATATCTCATAAGGCGCTGCAGTGTTGTTATTTGCATTTATTTTTTATTGTGATTGTTTTACACACATGCAGCAATGCTACTGTGTAGATCGGTGGACGGTGACACCTAGAAACAAGAGCTCTGCTTGTAGCGTTTTCGTTTATTTTCAGAGATTTTGATATTTAAAAGATGTGAAATTCTAATTAAACAACCACATATTTTTGATGTTTGTTCTTCATTTTGTTCTGTCTTTGACATTGCTTATTCTGTTCGGCACAAAATGGGCTGTTTTGTTTGAAACACCAATAGAACGCTTAAAAAGGAGCTTAAAAGTAACATACATTTAGCAGTTGTTTATTTCGGTATCCATCTGTTACAACATTTATGTTAAAGTTTCGATTCAAAAACTAAAACTCATATCACACAAATTCATTACTCAGGGTGATTTATTTCAGAAACTTTTTTGTTACAACTAAAATCACAATATTAAAGATGAACAAATGTAAAAAGGATTTTCAATACATACATGAATGTTTATGTACTGTACAGTATGTGCACTACTAGTAAGATAGAGCCTCCATGCACTGTGGCATACATCCTAATTTCTGAACAACTTACTTCCATAAACTCTAAACCATAATCAACAACTTTAATGGAAATAAATACTTGAAATACATCACACTGTCAGATAGAAGTGTGTGCGTTTAAATTAAATGAACAACAACAGTTTTTTCAGCCTCTTGGAGAGATGTATGGTAGCCTTAAATTTGTTTTCTGTGTTGCCCTCCTCTGGCACAATTGTAACACAACAAAATGTGTCTCAGATATAGGCTATGTATAAAAAGAACTAAGACTCAGAAATGTGTTGCTGTGCTTTTATATCCCTCTAACTGCATGTTCAAGACAACTAATACCTCACAAAATAAGACCATAAACTAGTTCCTGAGATTAACCTTTGCCTTGAGAAAAACTAAGGAAATTGGAGATTGTGTGCCGCACCCAGGCTAGTTCAATCTCCATTTATGTGTTTATTATTAACTCAGGTAGCTATCTTTGCAGCATGATGTGTCACTCTTTGTTCTTGTGTGAGAGAGTTCCTCTTTCTCGCTTGGCTCCTCCTCCCTTGCTGCCCCGCCAGGGAATGGGGCCTTTATGGGGGCTGCTCGGCATTCCAAGGGAATTCTTGCAGGTGAGGGTACGTAAAACGATCCTGATCCTGCCCTTTAGATGACTTGTTGTAGTTTAGTCTTTGCAAACTAAAATTTATATATATATACGTATATATATATTGTCAAAATGTACAAAGAGCACTAAGCTGTTAACCGTTTCTCATCTCAAACGGCTTGTAGCAACGGCAGGGGTGTGATCAAGAGAGCAGGGAAAAGTGGGAGGGAAGGATCCAGGACTTTTTCATCAGGTGAGCGACCAAACACAGACCTACTAATCTATTTGACATGTTCAATGGAGACACTCCAAGCACAGTTATGTACGTTGTGCAGATTAGGACGATTACTGATTTTCAAGCAAATCTTTTTTTTTTTTTTTACTTTAACTTCCTACCTCTCCTTGAAGAGACTTTTTAATAGCCAAAATGCTTTGGGCTCTCACAGAACTGTTATCTGATGTGATTAAGAGCAGTATATGGGTGGCATGAGTAATAGACTGACCTCACTCAGACAGATCCCCAGACAACACCCAGCATTACCTGCACTGGGCACAGCATAAAGGTAAGTGTGTGAATCTTAAGTTCAACATTTCTTATGCTGTTAGTTTGTCTCTGCTGATATACATTTCCACATCAGTGAAGAGAACAATAACATCAGAGACGTAAAAGCATAAATTAAAAGATTTATTGTGAAAGAAATGATTATGTAAAGAGCAATTTGAGTTGCGTAGCGTTTTACTTGGCTTTCATCAGACCTGGTAACCGACTCTGTATCTGCTTCAGCTTCTCTCTTCACTGTTGAAACTTGTCAAGACAACACTGCCTGCAGGTATGTCTGCCTTTTCCCATGCCGACTTATTAGCCACTGCTGAGCTTCATGTGGCTTATGCCGCCTTACAATTAATTAAAAATAAGCATTGATCTTCTTCTCTGTTTTGTTAAGAAGCCCTGAATGAAGCCAGCTTTTTTTTTATTTTGTTGTTTAGTTAGCCTGTTATATTTTATATGTACTCTTGTTATGGGCAGAGTCCATAAGAGGAAGGACTTTACTTCTCTTTAATCTCTGCTTCCATGAATTGTTCCTCACCTTTCTTTATCATTCTTGCCCTTTGATATCTGCTGGAGTTCTCTATCTTCAGTGTGCTGGCTTCCTTTGCAACTTCAGATTCTTACCGCATGGATTTGGTAACTTATTCTAGATCACTGGATGCCTCAAAAATAGGTAATTATAGGGCTGATATCTAGTTTTAACTTGCCAGTGATCATAGTGACACATATAAACACTCTGCATTGTTGTTTTTGGACCTCAATATTACATTTGACACAGCTGATCATAACATACTGGATTACTGACTGGAAAACTGAGTGGGATTGTCTGCTGTGTGGGAGTGGTTTATGTATTTATTTATTTATTTTTCTGCCAGAGTCACACTATGTTGTCTCACTTGGTATTTATAAAACTGAACAAACAAAGATCACATGTGGGGTTCCTCAAGGCTCAGACTGAAAATATGTTTACTTCATCGTTCTCATGAAAGTCAAAGATTATTTCATTAGTTAATTTCTACTATTTGTTCGGTATTAAGTTGCCTTTCACAGTTTCTTTCCGTTTGTGTTGAATTGTTACAATTATTCTCTTAATGTCTTTATCTTTAATGAAATTCTCTTCACCAATTTATGCAAAGCACTTTGAATTACCTTACACGTGAATGGAATTATACAAATATGCATGCCACACTTTGTGTAGCTTTGAGATAAACTTTCCTGATGTGAGATTTTAAGAAAAGAAAAAATTACCTTTTTCAGTCATAAATCTATTTGGACCTAACTATGCGATATAGCAACAACAAAAAATTTAATCTGACTTATTTTCTGATTAATTAAATCCTTAGGTCAGACGTTTTTATTATTGAAAATAAGAAAAATGTCGTTATAACACAAGAATTATGAACCCGATATAGTCTTCTCCCTAAAAATGCTTTCTTTATTTTATTCAAGAAACATGTAAAAAGAAGACCATAATAAGTATTGTTTAAATTGTGCTTGCTTTGTTTTGTTTTGTTTTGTTTTTCCTCCACATTTTAGCATCATGTTGCAAACAATCAAAGACTGGCTGTGGTGGGAACGTCTGTGGCTTCCAGAGAAGGTCTCCTGGGCAGATCTCCAAGACAAAGAAGATCGTACTTATGCCAAAGCCTCTCAACTTTATGCAGCTGTGCCCTGTGCCCTCTGCCTACTAATTGTTAGATACCTCTTTGAAAGGCAAGACCACACAGCTTAAGAGTAATCGTGACTGAGAGTTCAGCCATTCCATGGTCTAATTTCAATATGCTGGGATTATGTTGCACAATCTTAGAGATTCCAAAGAGCTGCTATTGTTGTGCTATATGGAAGGTTCACAGAGCTCTGTGTACTGTTTCAGATACTTGGCCACACCTCTGGCTAATGCTCTGGGGATCAGAGACAAGGTACGTCTCACAGCTGAGGAAAACCCAACCCTAGAGAAGTACTTCTACAGCCAAACCCGGAATCCGTCACAGGTGAGTTAAGAGACAGTTTATTTCTTACACACTTTAATCGCGGGCAGACATGTGTTGTGCTTTGTAGTTTTTGTAGATGTTTTTTCAATAAATAAAATAACTTATTGTGGAAGAAAGAAAAAAAAGAGGAGAAAATACATTTTAAGGATAGCTGCTGGAAGACAGCAACACAGATGTATTGAGATTAAGAATCTCAATAAGGTGTTTTAAAATAAACCTCAGGTGTTATATTAAAGCATTTACCCCCTTAAGTATTTTCCGCTTTTTGCCATGTTTTAGGATCTGAGATCCATCAAAAAGACAAACTTCATATGACCATATGGTAATACAACATGTATTTGATCAAATACAATGTCGTTTATGAGCTGCTTGACTGAGCAGTAAAACGATTGTAGGTTCAAGTCCCAGACAGTGACCTTTTGGCAGTGATTTTGCATGTTGTGTTATCCTCACCATGCTCGAGTTCTCTCCTGTGATTGCGACTCCCTTTCGCAGTCCAGGATTTGGATGTAAACTGGTGTGAAGTGTCTATGTCTACATTGTTGTCTGTCTTTTGTGTCTCTGTATGCAGCCAAACCAAACTACTGCTGTTGATTGTGTGCCTCCCCTTCCATCCCCCCCCCCCCCCCACCCCCAGCAGCATAACTGCTAATGTCAGCTGGACATTGTCCTTCAGAATTTTCTACTCGATAGCAAAATTCTGGAACTGGAGCCTTGAAATTTGGAAACTATTTTTGTTTTATTTGACAAAAATAGAAGAAACAAAACAAAATGTCTAATTAGCCAAATACTTGTTTATGCAACATTTCTGTAAGCTGTAAATGTAGATTAAAAGTCAGGGAAATCTGTCAAAATAAAGAATCTTGTTTCACCTGCCTTAGTTAATGTAAATGTATTCTATACTGCAGGTGCGACAACTTGATTCTAGCGTATAACTTGTGCAAAATTGAAGAGTGTGTATGGTAGTGTGTTTTAACACCGGAACTGTTTGCTTTGTGTCTCAGGCTGATGTTCGGTCTCTGTGTAAGAAGACCGGCTGGCCAGAGAGGAGAGTAGAAGTGTGGTTCAGGAGGAAGAGGAATCAGGATCGACCTGGGCTTCGGAAGAGGTTCTGTGAAGCCAGGTGGGTGTATGTGGACACAAAGATTTTTGCATTAGTAGGTACAATAAGGGTCTCTATGTAAACATTTAACTTTACTGCTCCTGTGTTCGACCAGTTGGAGATGCGGCTTTTATCTTTGTGCATTCCTTGGAGGACTTTTAGCCCTTTACGATGTAAGTTCTCAGAAATCTTTTGTTGTTATTTTCGCTTTCCGCCTTTAATGTGAATTTATTTGTTGTATCCTGGAAGCAGTTCGGGCAAAAAATCCAAAATCCAAAGGCCACAAGTTACCAAGCAAATAAACAATAAGTTTTGCTTTTGGTTCAGATCTTTCTTACTTTCCTCTGTGTCCTGTTGTTGTCTTTAGAAACCTTGGTTTTATGATCTAAAAGAGGTTTGGGCAGAATTTCCTAAACAGGTAACTCTATCCCCTTTTTTTGTATCAGCATAGGCTGCACAAGAGTGTAAACAGTGCGATTCATGAAAATGTTTTATGTTTGTTAAATATTCCTTCAGTCCATGCTCCCGTCGCAGTACTGGTATTATACCTTGGAATTGGGCTTCTACCTTTCTCTGCTCCTCAGCCTAACGTTTGATGTGAAAAGGAAAGTGAGTATGCAAGTGTGTGCTGAAGTACAAAATTAACAAATCTTTATTTGTTTGAATCTAACTTCAAATGTTTACTATTATTAGATTGTATATTGAAGTGCTAAATCACATTTCCTATTACATTCATAAACTAATCATTTTGCAGGAATGCATGACTTATAGAAGAAAAAAAAAGTAGCACATACCAATATTAACTTCATAAAATCAATGTTAGAGTTGTACAAAGTGCAGTAATGTTAACCTGTGGTTTGCATGCTGGCAGGACTTTAAAGAGCAGGTGATTCACCATGTAGCCACAATGACACTTCTGAGTTTCTCCTGGATTTCTAACTACATTCGTATTGGAACTCTTGTGATGGCTGTTCATGACTCTTCAGACATCCTGCTTGAGGTCAGTGCTCTTGTAATGTTCAAGACGTAATGATTCTGAATCATAGTTGTTGCTACAAGAATAACTATTTGTTTAAAAGGCAGTGGTTATTTATTGTCTGCGTCTGATATTCTGGAAAACAAAAGTCCAGTGAGAAGATATTTTTATGTCTGACAAAGAAACAACAAAGTGAGCCATTACTAAGTGAATAGGATGACCGGAGTGGGTATGAAAATTAGATACATTCTCTTGTGCACTATAATTTGCATATTTTTTCCATATGTCTGCAGGCTCAATTATGCCTGTATATTTACATAACTGCCTTTTTTTTTTTTTACAATTTAAAGTAAGATATTTTTTTATCATCATTTCTCTAAATCTGCTAATACTTTAAAAAGTAGAAAGCTACAACACATTTGTTTATAATGCAATTGCCTAAAATGTCTTAGAAACAAAAGTTGGTACTGCACACAATTTTAGGTAGATGGATAAAAATGTTTATCTGCAAGACAGCATGACATTATGTTGGTCTATTACTTACTTATGGATAAAGTTTGTTCCTTATAAACTAACAAAAAGTCATGAATATGAGATATATTACCAATATACCAAAATATAGCCATGTGTATTAGGGAAGTGGATGGAAAAATACTTTTTTTTTATGAATAAAAATCTGAAAGGTTTGGGATGCATATCTATTCGCCTCCCTTTCTGTTGTTATTTCTCCTGAAGTAACAGTATGCTTGTTATTCACTTCATCCTCTCTCTCTCTTTTTTAAGAGAAACAAGGCTCTTATCCCTGTCTTTGCTTCTTTTACAGGGAGGAAAGTTGTTTAACTACGCCAAATGGGAGCAGACTGCTAATGTTATGTTTGTGATATTTACAATTGTCTTCATGGTGACAAGACTTGTTATTTTTCCTTTTTGGTGAGTGAATTAAAAAAAAAATTGTTTGTGTAGCACATTATAACTGGCGGCTAAGGGGGAGTAACAAATACATACATCTACAGGCTCATCCACTGTACATGGGTGTACCCATTAGAGAGGTTTGACCCCTTCTTTGGCTACTATTTCTTCAACATCATGTTAATGGTTCTGCAAATTCTACACGTCTACTGGGCTTTTCTAATAACAAGAATGGCTTACAAGTTTGTCTTCAGCAAGGTATGTTCAAAATGGTTTGTGTGTATGTGCAGTGTTTCTCGGCTAAATGTCTGCCTCTTGGTTCTAAATCTTCTCTGTGGCATGTTTTCACCCAGCAACTGGACGGCGATGTTCGGAGCGATGAAGAGGAGGACGACAGTGATTCGCAAAAGAATATAAAACACAAAATGAATCATATTAATGGTGCCATGAATGGTGCCAGAGATCGAGCTAACGGTCACTGATGTATACAGAGAAAAGAGGAGCATCAACCATGACAGATGGACACTTTCTACTTGGAGTGCTTCGGTTAAAATCTTGAGAATTCAACAAAGTGATATTGCATTTGAAAGAACTGTGAAGGAACCTAAATAGTGTAATTTTCTTTTAGCCCTGATTAAAACTTAGGATTAGTTCTTTCATGAGTTTACTTGTATTTTATATGAGGGCACAAATTGGCATTATAACAAAAACCCCAAGGCTGATTTTGAGTCTTGAAGTCATATCTACCTGTCTATGCTGTACCAGTTGATCAAACTTTATGTATTTATTACATTTTATGACCGTGTTTGTGTTTTTAGAACGCTGCAAATCAGTATTTATTTTTGTCTTGTTAATTGTTTGGAAGGTAGGCCATGAAAGATTGATGTCCTGTGTAATACCAGCACGCCCCCTAGCGACAGCTGGAGAGACGCGGTTAGAGCTCGTATCTAGGGAAACCGTCTCTATAGAAACCGCGTGTGGCTTAAAACTGTGGTTATCGAAATCTGTTAGCATACTGGCTGGCGTGTTTGTGTGTGTGTGTTTGTTAACGTTTCATAGCTGCTGTCAAAATGACTTACCAGCGAATGTATCAGCCCAAGGTGAAAACCGGAAACTGGTTTGAAGACCTGGTCCTAAAGGAGGTTTGTTGAAAAGAAAATGAGGACATATTATCTGAGCTAGCCGTCACGTTGACATATTTTAGCTAAATCAGTAAGGGTGTAGAAATATGAAAATAAGAGTCTAGAATTTATCGGGAAACTAAAAGGGTTTTAATTTATTTCATATTTTTATATTTAGCGTTTTCATTAAAATTAACCGCATAGCTAAAATTTTTTCAAAGCTGCATTTTAGATGTACACATTTATGCATCTAGTCGCCTATGGTAAGCAAAAGATAAGTAAAACAGTAGTTAAAACAATGTCACTTGCATTAATTTGTGCATGATCAAAGTTTTTCCCAAATTAGCCTTCTTCTTCTTCTTCTTCTTCTTAATTCAGTTTGGTTTACCAAGTTGTGAAAATGTTTCACTGATACAAATATGAAGTGTACATTTGTGTTCACCCTACTTTAATTTTACACCCCAAAATAAAATCCAGTGCATCAAATTGCTTTTAGAAGTCACCTTAATTTTAAATACAATCCCCTTGAGTGGCTATATAAGAGAATTTATTTATTTGATCAATTTATTGACCCAAAGTTAAAACAAGAAGCAGAAGGTTAATACATGTCAAGGTCCTAAAGTTCTTAGTCATTTATGAAGCATTACATTTTCCATGTTCATGGTAGATATAGGCATAAAGTACTTTCTTTAAATTTGACCAACAAGTTTCTTTGGGATAGAAGTGATGTTAACATTTAAGGCAGAGCAACAGTCCTGACTTGAAGCTAAAATAATTTCTGTGGAGATGGCATTGAGGCCTTCAAACTTCAATGACTTGGCGCTTTCCATGGAAGACAAATTATGAAAACAACATTGCAAACATGCAAAACGCCCTTTAGCAATAAAAAGGGTTTGATTGCTGCAATGTGAAGAAAGGTTTTTCCATTGAAAAAAAAAGGCTTGAATAATCTTCAGCATGAAATTTTCGAATAAAATATTAACAATAATAAGAAGAAGCCAATGAAGATGAAGAAAAAAATAACACAAAGTTGTAATAAAAACAATATTTTTTAATTTGAATTTTAATAGATTTTATTATTCTTGAGACATCCACCTCATTCTCAGTGATACATTTTTGACTGAATAGAATAGAAATTATTTTGAATTTGACGATGCCATGAATATGAATAATTTTGAGCTTAATATCTGCTGCATCTTTGCAGAGGGTATGTAAAGGAGAATTACACAAACACCTTGTTATTTCAGAGTACAAAACAAAGCAAACAATAACTTTAAAAACTAATTAAATGAAATGTTTTAATACATTAGGTTAGCATGACTGGTATTCACATTATTATTAAGTTATTATCATAAATTATTTAGCTGAGATTTGTTAACAATTGTCTGATAATGGCAAAAAAATATTCAGCTGGTGTTCAAAAAAGAGAAGAACATGGGAGAACAGGGAAAGCTTTGTGAATCAGTTGATTTCTCTCTTCAACTTTCATACTTTTAAAGGTTTTTTCTTATTCCTGTTGAAAATTCTGTTACATTACTTAATATTTAACCATCTATCTGAGAGTCAAGTCACATACAACTTTTTAATATTACATTTTAAGAGTACTTTTAAGTCATCTGTGGAAGTAGAAATATATGTCAAGTCAAATCAAGTTTGTTTGTAAAACACATTTTAGCAAAGCAGTTCAAAGTACTTTACACCATAAAAACAACATAATAGAGTTTTTACACATATAAGCAAAAAACCGGTTTAAGTTTTAAACAAACGTTGACCAGAGAATCACTTCAGGGTTTAAAGTTTCAGCGAAATGCTGGGCTGACCAGAGGTACAAATAGTTCTCTACCTCTCGCTGTGCACTTGCCAGTCTGACAGAAGAAAGGGTACCACATGTTTTTCGCAACAAGTACTTATCTCTACTTATTTTTGAGACATTGTGATGATGAAAAACAAAAAAACGCAGTTTGTCGTGGTAAATAACAGCTTGTAGAGAAACATTTCATATGCCGTTGTTTTTTCCAGGAGACAATAAAAGAATTTCTTGACAAGAGGAGCAGGGGAGAGCTTCTTTCTCAGAAAGTGGACTTTCTCAAACAAAACATTTTGGAACACGTAACGTGAATCTAAGCTGATTTAAAAGCTCTAATAGTGACCTACGGGCCTCAGTGGTGATGAGAGTGTCTATCTACATGTTCAGGTGAATCTCTCTGCGACATTCGATGGACAGCTACGTTTTGGAGATGTTGTGATGTTGGTGAATGTGGGAGGACAAGACAGGGAGCACAGCGTTCTCAGCATCAACGCCAATGTCGACAATGTGACTAAGACACCTCTGCCGAGCATTAAGATGCCATGTGGGGTCAGCGGAGGAAAAGGTATTCAATCCTGCGTTCGCACTGCTTTTATCATCACCAGGTAAGTGGTCAGGAAATGACTTCGACAGAAACTAATGAGTGAGCGCCTATCTGATGTTGTCTGTGTGGTGCAGTGTTGATGGCAGTCCTGAAGGATCAACTCTGCATTTTGACCAGAGTTTTGCTCTCAAAACAACAAGTGGCTTTGCCAAAGGAGTAAGTAAAACCTTTTCTGAAGCTTTATGTGTTTTAGCGATAGTTGGTTTATACATCTTCTCACTAAATCTAGGTGTATCTCAACTGATTGGAGAGTTGTGATGCATTGATGGTATTCAATAAATGTCATCAAGTTTTAAGAATGTAATGTTAAAACATTACAAACCTAAACTAAAGCTGTTCTAAAATATGTTGCACTGTTAACCCTTAAGTTCAATCCATTTCATTTACATAGTGCACGTTTTCTAAAGGCATTTGCAAGGCAATTCATATAGAGAAATACATAGTCAGTGCGGTCTATTCATAAAAAAAGATTTAACATCAATTGCACATATTGCAAATCCAACCTTGCTAAACCTTGCTATAAATTTAGTAAAATTCTCTCCATCATTGGAGTTGGTAAGAAAAAAATTCTTACTACAGCAGCTCAGCTGATTGTATCAAATTGTCAAAATCAATGAGTAATTCAGCATTTAAATTTAATGCTAGGCATCTGTTTTTAAAAATGGCCATTAAAAAGTTTGCAAAAAGCAATAACCTTAGTAAGATAGCAATACATGCAAAAAAAAAAAAAAAAAAAACAGACAACAAAAAACAATATTGTGAACAGCTACCAGACCTGGTAGCAGTGCCAGTAAAGAAAAAAATCCCCAAAGTTATAGTTTTTGGACTGGTTTTGTGATCAGTAGAGTCTGGAGCAGATTACTAACCAAGAAAATCAATCTAAACTGAGCTCACACAATATTACAGTTCCAAATGGGAATTGTGCTGGTTTTCATGTCTGTTATTTCGACTTCTATTCTTACCTTTTTTTAGTACATTTAACAGGATAATTTACAATCAATTTTTATTTGACTTTGGTGACTAATTTTGACCTATTCAAATATTTGTGCCTACAGCCTTCATAAATGTTGTTAAGAAGAAGCTGAACAGTGTGGTTTAGTGAGTTATTATTGCCTCAGGAAATAATCTTTCCACATAAGTTACATTTAAAATGTTCCTTTCCTGTTCTGTGTTAAACACAGAAAACACATAACAGGGTACAGATTAACTTACATCATGCATGACTTAGATCAATGATATACTTTCATCTCAAGTAAGTAAAAACAAAAGCAGCTTAGTTTCATTTCTTTCTTCTACACTATCCTTTAATATATTTAATATAATGTAAAAAAATAATCTCAGGAGAGTGGTCCTTAAGAAAACACACCAAAATGAATAAAGGAAAAGGCCTTGTCAGGAAAGTAATTATCTTTAGGTTCTTGGAAAAGTACATATTTTGTTAGCAAATTTATTCAATAACAAAGTGCCTTGTGACAAAAGTCATTTTAATAATTAACACCTGAAGTCAGGTAAAGTTTCTATTAACCTTCGTTTCACATGCAAATGGCTGTTTTAGCACTTGAACTCATTCATGATTTAGTTAGTTGTACACCACCTGCAGGATATCCTTGAGTAATCTCTTAGCAACCAGTCAGACACAAAGACAGGAGTTTACTCTGCCTTACAAATCCTTGTAGTGCAGAACAGAGCAAGCTCTTTATAGAGTAAGTTAGCTTACCTTCTAAGTGGGCTTTATCAGCTTTCTGGAGCTTCTGTTGAGAATCTTTAACCTAAAAATAATTAAAAAAAATATGTACAACAGTTTTCTTACTGCAGATTAAAATGTGATTAGCAAAATTCCTCAACACACAAATAAAGAGAATTCCAGAAATAAAACAGTGAATGTATAATTTTCTGTAAAAAAAAAAAAAATCAACACTTCTTCTTAAACACAATCTTTAGTCTGTCATCTGACCACTGTTTTTTTTTTTTTTTCTGTTAATGTTTTGCCTCAGCTTTACTTGACCAGTGATAAACCCCGTTTCCAAAAGGTACATCCACATTTATCACAAATGTTAACTGAAAATCACTGACACGAAAACATGTGCATCTATCACCTATTGTAATTGTGCTTAATTTAAAGTGTGCAAAGAAGTCTGGCCTCCAAGACGTTTACCTGGATGACACCTTAAGTGTTTTGTCATGGTGGAAAATATCGCACTTTGACCCCCAGGAAAGATTTGAATCTGAGGGTCTGCCAGTTCCTGTAAGTTATTAACAGTTAGATACATGCACTACTGAAGGCAGCATATGAAATGTTAACAAAAACTACCCTGTACTTTTTTTTTTTTGCAGGCTAACGAGAAGGTGCTGGTCATCCACTGCATGACAAACCAAGGCCTTGCTGTTCTGGGTGAAAAGCTTCTCTGGTATTTTATTTTTGTATTTTTTTATTTTTATTTTTACTTTTATTAGAAACTTCACCTAAATGGGACATTGATATTTTACAGGCGGTGGTTTTACAGAGCTGGTGAAAATCTAGCTTTTACTACAGCAGCATCATCTCACACACAAAAAATTTCTACAGATACTGGTGCCTTTGGCGACACCTGCAGAGCATACAGCGAAACTGTTGACAATGTGAAAGACATTTTGGTAAACTCAAGAGATCTGAAACATGGCCCAAAGCAGAACTGTGCAGTACCCACAGGGTGAATTCAGATATATTTGATTTGACATCAGGTGATTTGAGATTGGATAAGTATGTATCGTTGCCTTGAAAAGTATACAGCAAAGCTGAAGATAACTTCCTAATAGACCCAAACCAATAACATGACTTAATTGCACCTACTTGCAAATGTAAAGTAAGGTGTGTCCAAATGTGGAATTTGATTGGGATGTGCAAAGGACATGTGCTTAAGTTAATGTGTATCTACACATCTGTACACCATTCAGTTTCTGGATTTTAAAAAACATCAGGTTTCAGTAGGAAATTGATGGAAGCATATTTTTCTAGCCAAAGTTCCAGAAGAATTTCTCCAAACGCTGTTCAAACACTGTTCAGTAAAATATCCGACTTATTTTACAATGCTATTTAAATTTACAAAGGTGCATTAGTACAGTGTAATGACATAATTAGTTTTGAATGCAAGCACTTCGCTGTGCGGTGCTTGCTTGTTGTTCTCATTCTTGTTGCTATGTTTTGAAACTTCCTTTACAGTTTTCTTCTCTGTGTTTGGTGGAAAGATAAAGATTGGTCCTTGTCCAGCGTGATGTGCAGCCCTATTTATATCACAGGAAAACAGAAAGTCATAGATTATGAATTTGAATTTCCTAGAAATTCTGACTGATTTAAAAGTTTAAGTGAAAACTTTAAAGAATGCTTCAATTGTATTTGCAAGCAACTATTTCTTTTGATGAAATTGTCTCCCTCCCTAAACAAATACTCAAATTAAAAGTTGACTTGAACCTCAGATTTGCTGTGTGCAGTTATGCTACTGCAACAAAAGACACAAGCTACATAAAAAACCTTAAAATATTATGTAATGCCACTGTACTTTCTTTTCTATCTCCACCTTGGTAATGTATTTTATTAGTATTGAGTAAACTGTGGTACAAAGACACTTCAAAAGAACGTTTCACATTCATCAAAGCTGCAGTATATAACATATATATGTAAACAAAAAATGTTTTTTGTTTACATATTTGTTAAAACTTCCACTATGTTGTGACTGTTATAGTATGAGACAGATGATCTATAAAACTTTAAAAAAAGATCCTCTGCCTTCTCCCATTGCTCCCAGTGCTAACTATGAACAACCAGTCACAACCAGAAGAACAGTCTTAGCGTTGTCAATCATGCCCAGACACACACTGCTCATCTCCATTACTCCCTCCCTACTGTCTGTTACGCAGTAGCTTCTCACCGTAAGAAAAGCCTGCCATGAATGCCAAATCTAGTTAGCATGGCCACACATGACAGCGGATGAACGATTTTCCTGTAATAGTGAGTTGTCTCTTCGCCGTTACCACATTTAGCAGCCCGTTCACCAGGTTGACTGACAGCACTAAAACATTCTTCTGTCACTGACTGGTTGCTTTTCATTGGGAGCAATGCGCTTTTTCAAACAGCAATTGTAGCTCAGGGAAGAGGTGGAGGAGATTGATCTTTTCATAGATTATCTCACTCATAGCAAACTGTCACAACATAATGATAGTTTTAGCAAATATGTATAAAACATGTTTTTTTTTTATTAAAGTAACATACTGGAGCTTTAAGTCATACTAAAGTAAGAAAAACTCACTGGTACAATCGATAGGCAAATACAACATGCAATTTAGATAAGGGGTCATACTGTGAGTTCAAAAGTTTGTGTTTGGCAGTTGAGGCATTTTTGCTCTTACACGTTTGATGATTTGTTTTCCTTACAGGACAGCTTACGGAGGAGAATATGAGGTGGTAGCGCACACATTCCTTGACACCCATAGAGCTGAACAAGATGTTAATTTCTGGATCCTGGGTACTTCTGATCCTGCTGGGGATGGGCTTCTATTCCTGAGGCACTTGCACGTCCAGCAGCCCACCTAGACCCCGGGTTACTACCTCCAGTTTATTTTTAATGTGGACAAACATCATAAACAACACCTGGAACTTCCACAATAAAAACTACCTTTTCTAACTGAAACATAGCTTTTACTTGATACATACAAAGCTTTGAGGCTGGACTCTGACCATCGTGATAAGGTTATATGATACTTCCAACCACAAACCAGCACCTGCGCTTTGTCAAATGTACTGTATCTTCCCCTTACTAAAATGAAGCAGCTGAACATTGCCACTGCAATTGTTAAGCATAGCATTTGGTCTAGAATATACTGACTAATGACAGATATAGTAACATAGCAATTGCTTAACTCGGTATAAACTGAAATACACTCATGTTTCTCAGACAGGTAACTGTAGTCATTGATGATTTTGAGACCAATGTTATTCGCCTTTTGCCCAGTGTTTTCTGATTGGCTGACAGTAAAAAGTCAGCCAATCAGAAATTTTTAGAGTATTACCTGCTTCCTTCTGCTGACAAGGTGTAACTATTTTTGAATGTAATGTAGAGGTTCTCTCATTTTTTAGAAGGACTCAGCACCAGCTCCCACTGCCAACAGTACCTCCTTAAACAAGCGCACCTGACCTAAACCCCATAGACAATCTATCAACGACAGTGGAGGAAGATGTGACACCAGATCCAACAACGATGTATACTGTTCAAATTTACAAAGTTGTATTGGTACACATAGTAAGTTTGGAATGTATAATTAGTTTGGAATGCAAGCACTTTGCCCCAAGCTGTGCAGTGCTTGTCTGTTGTTCTCCTTCTCATCTCTATATGTGTGTGTGTGTGTGTGGAGCCAGAGGCGGTTCTAGTCTGTTTGGGTGAACCTGGCATCCCTCAATTCCTCTAACACACCCAAAGTTCTTCATTGTGCTCTGCTTTAGGCACTGCTGAGACTCAGATCCTCCGATTGAGAGCGGGAGCGGGGCGTATTCAGGCAGCTCATGCTCATGGAGCTTTAAAGAGATGCAGTGTTTCTTCACAAATTAATTAAAACTACACTTGATCCTGCTCTCACTTTTTGCGCAGTCTCACATATTCACATCCCTGACTACAGCTGTGACACCGTGGATGCAGTATCACCCATGGGCAGAAATCCTAGGGGGTTTGGGGGAAAGTTTAGAATTGCAAAGAATATAATTTAAATAACACATAACTTGAGAGCCACTACAATGAATCAATATTTATGAGGAATTTTGTTTTTATTTATAGCCTTAAATTTTTGTAAAGGTGTACCAGATTTTACATTTTAATTTGACTTGTAAGCGTCTCAATAGTTTGCTTACTGAGAAAAACACGTTTGAGCATTACTATTCATTTTTGCTAGTGTTGCAGCTTGAACACATTAAAAACTTTTTAAACCACATTTTACGTTACATTTCACTGTAACTTTGCCGACCCACCCAAAATTCGTCTTAAAAATATCCCTGTTTATTGCTCCGCGCGCCCCTCCCCATAATGGGATGTCCTATACCTTTAAAGAACTAACATTTTCAGCTCAGTACAAGACCCAGGGTGAAACATACATGAGGTTTGGCGTGACTAGGAAAGGATACTCCGTCTCTCTGACGAACCTACTCTCAGTGATTAAAATTTTAGCGAAATCCAATTATAAATGTATAGGAGGTAGCAGTCAAACTGGCGCATCGCCTCCAGTTGCGAGGTGCATTCAAGTTAAAAAGAAAAAGTAAAAATTAACGTTTCTTTGAGTGGTACCCAAAATATCCGTTCTGTCTAGGTTTTATGAACTAGACAACGCGACTTTTTGTAAACTATCACATATTTGCGCAAAGACTTATGATGCAGGCAAACTGAAGCGTCAGCGAATATGAACTGGTGCACCGAATAACGACGCTCTGTGGCGAGACACTGAACTCAACCCGACCTGCCAGTTTTTACAATTTGCCAAGCCAGTTCAAGTGCCTAAGAAGAGCAAGGTTCAGCAAGGAGGGATCTCTTTTTTACTGAGAGGTGAGTTAAACACAATTTATTCCCAAATAAGTCTCGTATGACGGATTGAGCAGAAAGGCGAAGAGTCTGTAACAGTCACTGACAGAAATAAATACATAACTGGCAGCAGAGATGCTCTTTTCTTCTCCGAAGGGAGCTAGTTTGTTATTACTCGCTATAAATTCATGCTTTGACAGGCAGCTATGTCAAGGAGCATAAAGTGAGCATATTAGAAATTTCTGTCGTTGCATGCTGTTTGATAAAACACGTCAATAAAAATAAATTGTCGAGATAAGCCTCCTAAAGGCACGTGCTGTAGTTTTCCATTCCTCTTCCTTCTTTCTCTCTCAGTTGGACAGCGACACAATATTGAGACAATATCAGGAGCTCAAAGGAAAAAGCCCCCCTGGGCTTTCAAATACTATGCAAGGGATTCAAGATGCAAAGCAAAGTCCTCCACTTTTTGCAGCATTTGTCACTGTTATTTGCTTTATTTCTGCTTTGGATTCATAGAGCAGGTACCACTAAACACATACGAGCAAACTTACCAAAAACTACAAAAGATTTGATCAGTTTACACCCAATTAACCTTCTCTAACCTCTAACCTTCAGGACACCATGTAGGTTTTTACCTAAATACGTGCATTTAACAGTGAGAAAAAGAAAACGAGACAGATAAACTATTTTAGGAACAGATTTACCTTTGGCTCTAGCTTCAGAATGAGAGCATTTAGCATCTACAAATTCTTCTGTGCATCAGCTGCTGTGTCTGATAATAAACATTTATGGAAAAAAAAAAAAAAAAAAAAAAAAAAAAACAAGACATGCAGTCGAGACATGATTTGACTGCATGTCTTGTTAGGTTGGGTCTTCAAAATTTGGTTATTTTCAGTTTTAATTGTATTCCTTAATTGTATTTTCCAATGTCACCTGGATGTACAATACACCTGGGATGTTATCCGTCAGCTTGCTTGACAAGTTGCATTTCTATCAGGAGGCAACTATAAGCACCCACCCCTTGCCTATCTTAACTTTCTGTGGCATCCAGTCCAACCACATATGGTTCCTTGGCCTGGGGGAAGTGCTTCTCAAATAGTTTGGGGGTGCTGGTTGCCATTGCCTTCCTTTACCATTGAAATTGCATATTTGTTAGAGGTATTTTTTAGCTGAAGACGCATCCTTTGCACATCCTGTGTACACTAAAGGAATGTTGTGTTGTTGCATTTTAAGCAATTCAATTATTTGCTTATTTGCATTTTTGAATGTATTTCTGATATTGCATAAAATAAGCTAAAGTGGTTAAATGAAAAGACAGCTAAATGTGACTGTTTTTATAAGATAACATCAGAGTAATAGATAGACTAATTGAAAATAATTTTCTCTGGGAAATGTTATTGACAGAAAACAGTTAAGAACCACCAGTTAATAAGGTGGTTCTTGACTGGCGGTTAAGAACCACCACAAGTCAAATTTGGAAGTCTTCCAAATTTGACTGTGCTTTAAAACTAGCATACTTAACCCTTAAACAATAGAGGTGTAACATCAGTACTGCACCTGCCCGTACCTGTTAATCTACTGACTCCTCTTCACACCTGGAGGTGTGTTGTGAAGTTTGGCACCGATATGTTAACTACAGATCCTTCAAGACTTTGAAGTTATGAGGTCCAGTCTTCTTGGGTGTTATTTTTTTGGCCATGGTCTCCAAACCTACAAAGCTTTGAAAAAGTATTTTCTCCCTTGTAGATTTTTCTTTTCTTTTTGCTTTTCTGTCACATTTAAATGTTTCTGATTATCAAACAAACTTCAGTGTCACAGAAAGATAAAAGATAAGAGTAAATCTAAAATGATTTATTTTATTCTTTAGGGGGAAAAAATGCAACCCAAAGCAACTCTGAGCTATAGAAAAAAAAGTACTCTAAACCTAGTAACTGGGTGTGCCACCCTTAGCGTCATTATCTGCCAGTAAGCATTTGTGATGATTTGTAACAAGTCTTTCACATCAGTGTCCCACAACATCAAAGCTATCATTGTAGAATAGTGAACATCAGACAAGTTTTAAACATGAAAGGGCTGTTGAAGACCTTACAACAGCATCTTAATCAGACCTAAATCAGACTAGTCCTTTCTAAAACTTTCCCCTTGTCTTCTATGAGCCGTTTAGATTTGGGTGATCTTCTGAGCATTACCCTGCTGCACAATGCTCAGCCAATTGATGGCTGAACATTGTCATTTAGGATTTTCTGTGACAAAGGAAATTTGTTGGTTTCATCATTTATGTCAAGTTGTGATCCCGAAACGGCAAAGTTGTTCTGGTCAATTTGCAATGAATTCAAAATAAAAATAAAACAACATCAGTAAGAGATGGAATGGTTTTGTCATCCTTACAGGGAAATGGATTTAATATTTTGCTTGACTAAACTACCTCCTAAATTTATTTGGTATTAATTTTATTTAATAAAGGAATGAGCATGAATCTCTTCCTTAGGGCCTTCTCGTTGTTTTTGAACTTCTGTAATAAATAAAGCATCCTGGTGGAAAATCATTAGGCCTAAAAATATTAGAAACAATCTGGAAACCGCCAGCATTTTGCTCAGCAGTTAAAAACTCTCCCATGGATGCTTGAGACACAGGTTCATGAGAAAGAAGCTCAACCTGGCCGCATGCCTCTTGTTTTTTTCCCAACTGTCATGAATGAAGTCCCCCCTGAACTCTTTTGTGTGTGTGTGTGTGTGTGGGTTCATGATTTGCTCAGAGTTAAATTGCTGGTTTAATTTAACTATTGTGGTCAACCCAGAAGGAGGGACGACAGGAACTCATTTGTTTGAAGCTGTAAGCAAAACCTGCGCTACAATAATTCACCTTTGCAGCCTTTGAAGGGTTTTAATACCATGTTGAAGTCAAGCTGACAGGTAGATGGATGAAAGGAGTATTTAATTTATACAGTAGCTTTTTATCAATATGAAAACAAACAAACGGTAACTGCTCCAGGAGATTATTACTCATCTGTAGTTTAAATTATTATTTTCTGCTCCAATAAGTGGGAGTTCTTGAGTGAATGGGCCGTTGGATGAATCCTTCCTTCTGATCCCCTGTTTCCTATTGACATGTAATTAACAAAATAATTTTCTTTAGGGTGCAACTGATATATATTTTTTGACTCCTAAGGGTGATCCCTGGACATGCCACCCTGGGCGAAAGCAATATAACCTGTACCACAAACCACCACTGACAGAATAAGAACAGCTTTGTTTTGTTTTATCAAAGTCTTTTGCTATTTATTGTGTTTTACACATTAAAACGTGTGTTAAAGACAGGCATTATATCTGTGTTGTAACCAGAATCATCATGGCAGTAGATGTCCCTGGACTCGTCTCTGTGATCGTTTTTTATGTTTGCATCCTGGCAATTGGAGTGTGGGGATCTCGAAAATCCAAGAAAGTGGAGAAGAAATGCTCCAGCTCAAAGAGTGAAATTGCCATCATTGGTGGCCGCAACATCAACATCCTGGTTGGAATTTTTACCATGACAGGTGGAGAGCGTTTGATTTTATATGTTGAAGCTGTAACTACTGTTTGTGTTTTTATACCCACCTATATTGTTTCTGTGCTTTACTTTTAGCAACATGGGTCGGTGGTGGTTACATTATGGGAACTGCCGAGTCTGTTTATTCTCCTACTCAAGGTCTTGTCTGGGCTCTGGGGCCCCCTGCATATGTCTTGTGTTTTTTTGTGGGTAAGTAGGCAAAACAAATTATTTCTGTATGACACACAATTGAAGGTTATAGTTTCCTTTACTGTTTGCACATGCCTAATATTAAATTTTGTAAGCTTGTATTTTTTTTTTTACAAGGTCACACAAAGTTCCTCATATTGTCTATGTACATGATGGAATGTTTCCAAATATTCTGTGCAGGCAGCATAAAACACTAAATATTTGATTAGTTAAAAACAAAAGACTTTCATTTGTACAGATATTGCTGCACTGATTAACGGGAAGTACTAAAATTCCTTACTATTTTTTTGTCTTTGCTATCTTGGCTCTTGATCCCTGTCCGAAGAATTACCCATGAGAAAGTCATTTTAAAAAAGCTCACCTTAATTAGAAGGATCATGACTGAGACCAGACTTTAAGATTGAAGCCATGCCCAGAACCCAAATTTGTTTTTCTCTCTGTTCCTTCTTTAGCTGGGCTGTTTTTTGCAAAACCTATGAGGTCAAAGCGTTACGTGACAATGCTGGACCCATTTCAGAATCGCTATGGCAAAGCATTCACTGTGACACTCCTGCTTCCTGCTTTGGTCAGTGACATATTATGGGTGGCCTGTATCCTTGCTGCTCTTGGTAAATAAAGCTTCTTCTGAATCTCAATGGCATGATGTGTAATGTGAATAAAATAACTATCCTATAGTTCTGTCTATATACTTATGAAATCTTTTTTTTTTATTTTTATCGCTTTTGGTTTTCAGGTTATGTTTCTTTTGTAATCTTGCCAGTTATCTTGTATCTTTTTAGTGTTGCTATGACAGTCTTTCCGCAGTGTTTCTAATCTGGAAAATATTATGGAATTAAAACAAACTGGTGGATGATGTGTTTTGATTTTCAGGTGGAACAATGAGCATAATTCTTGGGCTGTCTTCTACCATCTCCATTATCATCTCAGCAGCTGTCTCCATTGTCTACACATTATTGGGGGGTCTCTACTCGGTTGCATACACTGATATCATTCAGCTTTGTTTTATTTTTTTCAGCTTGGTAAGAATTTTGAGCTCAAGTGGGAATAAAAAGCGAACTAAGCAGATGTATGCAATGGCTAAAGATGTGGAACAGGAATCTTACCGATTGAGCTACTAATTTGGAAGTCAGTAATTTTATTTTGGCCTTTTTTTTCTCTCTCTCTCTCTTTCAGTGGCTTTGTGTTCCTTTTATGGTTCTTAGTCCAGCAGTTACTGTCATCTCACAAACACTTCCACTCAACCAAACAAATGAACATGCATGGATGGGACACCTGGACCTGGAAGTTGCAGGAAAGTGGGTTGATGAGATGCTTCTTATGGTAAAAAAATTTATGTGCAATAAAATCATAACATTTTGGCTTTCATAAATAACCTACAATTCTCAGTAAAACTATTTTATTTGATAATTACTTTTGAGTTCTCATTTAAGAGCACAGTGCATATGAAGACACATTATGTGTATATAGCCAGTTCTGCTTCACTTGGCATGAAGTGAGAAACGTTCGGTGTGATAAGTGCAAAGTAGTTTCATTTTCTAATCCAGTTTTGTTGGTGTTGCAGGCTTTAGGGGGACTGTCGTATCAAGCGCTATATCAAAGAATTCTTTCGGCAGCCTCCTCTGTTCAGGCTCAGATATCCTGCTTTGCTGCGGCTTTGACAGTTTTTATTATGGGAATCCCCTCAGTTGTCATCGGAGTGATGGCTTCTGCTGCAGGTGACCTGTCACACTGTTACATCAGAAAGCAATACACGTTGTTCCACTTTTAAATCTTGACCATGGTAAATTTCAAAGCACCATACATATATATTATTTCACTTTTTAATATATCCAAAATCTCAGCTTTGCATTCCCATCATGTATTTGTCTGCCTTGGTAACCCCCCTCTTGTTTTCCCTCAGACTGGAACCAGACTGCTTACGGTCTTCCCCCTCCTTTTGAGCGTGGAGAAACAGGGAAGATCCTGCCTCTCGCTCTGCAGCATCTCACACCCACCTGGGTGGCAGTGCTAGGCACTGGTTCTGTAGCTGCAGCTGTTATGTCCTCCATGGACTCGGTGCTGCTGTCCTCTGCATCCATGTTTACACAAAACATATACAAGACGACTTTGAGGAAAACGGTGTGTGGACACAATTTGATTCCACTCTAATAAAAGGACTTGGTGTTTTATCTGCTATTGTCCTTCCTCCCCTGCAGGCCTCAGAGAGGGAGCTCCAGTGGGTGATCCGTATTAGTGTTCTGGTTGTGGGCCTGGCTGGAACAGGTCTGGCTTTTGGAGACGACAGTGTCTTCTCTCTCTGGGTTCTAAGTGGAGATCTCCTCTACTGTGTGATTTTCCCACAGCTGCTCTGTGTTCTCCACTTCCAGCATGCAAATACTTATGGTGCTTTTTTTGGCTTCGTGGTGGGTTTGTTGCTGCGTGGACTGAGCGGGGAGCCCATACTTGGGATCCCTCCTGTTCTCCTGTACCCTGGTTGGAGGGAGGAGAATAATGTGATCAGACAGTACTTTCCTTATAGAACTGTTGCCATGCTGTTTTCTGTGGTAAGTATTCCAGCAGTCTCATGTCTGCTGAAGCTAATTTTTGAGCACCAACTTATCCCACAGTCCTGGGATTTTCTGCAGGTTTTTAAAAAGAAAAATGAGGTAGAGGAGGATGAAGCACCTGACCCTTGTGAGGAAATGAACCAAGTTCACAATACTAAATTCTAAGCTAAACTTCAATGTAACCAAAAGAATAAGCC